ACCCCACCGCCAATTAATTTTGTCAGAATCCGAATTGACTTTCGGATCCGGATCCCAAAAAACGCAAAATCCTAATGAAAAGGAAACTAAACTCATATTTTGCCGGTGCGCATGTCTACTACATAATCTACCTCCTGATAATAATCTACCACTGCCTTCGGTTTTTCTTGTATACATATACTTGACAAATGGCCTAGAAATAGGCTTCATGAAGATCCAAAGAAACAAATGCTTGATTTGCAGTATTTAGATTGCTAGGTTAAGGACTGGGAGGCCATGAGGTGGTTCAAATATAGCGTCATTTACTTCAAACTGCATACACACGAAAGTTCTGTTAACCTTTATACATTGCCAATATAAGCTACATCTCTATAAAATGAGAGGTAAAGATGCAGTCACTGAAATAAAGGGATACAATACAATACTTATCTTAGATGGAATAGGGAGGACTTGCAAATGCTTCAAACTATTGGAATATAAAAACGCTTTCTTGAACAGGTGGGTTTTTAGGGAGTGTATACAAACTAAAATATTGGTAAACAGTCTAATGTAATAAAAGAATAGGTACAATGTGACATGTTGGCAGGAGGGACATGGTTATGGAAAGCCAGCTTCAGCCAAATTTATTTTGCAGCTTTATATAGATCGACAAAGGGTTAGAACCTCAGTCAGGTTTGAAATGCTATCTGTGTCCTTGCTGAGATGTCCTCTGGCTTCTTATTCTGTCTGACATTTGTCAACGAGGAATGAAGTAGAAATATTTTCCTTATTTCTGTTCTTTCTAGTCATGCAGGCCTAAATCCATAATTGTAAATGATTGTTTGATAGAGTAACTTTTCATGCATTTAACCATTTTCTTCGAAAGAAAGATATGAGCTGCTGCATACTACTTATAACATCTACCTTTAATGTATAACACAGCAGAATAATGTGTACATTATTTATTTTTTTATTGTAGGACCCAAATCAATTTCACAGTCGCCATAGACTTCACAGCATCAAATGGTAAGAATGTGTCATGTATTCTTTATTTTATACTTCTGGAGAGCACCACTGTTTATTGAAAATGCCAGTTTTTCACAGTATAGTGTCTATAAATGTAAGCTTATATAAAACAGTCCAAATAGCAAACCGTAAACATCAAATATAGAAGTTTAGGGTAACCAGTCAGGCTGTTTATGCGGGAACTAGAGCTGTAGCCAAAATGCTTTTTCTTAGATCAAACGGGGAAAGAATAGAACCTTTAACAGGCTTTTACTGCTATCCAAGTACCTGTTTGGGATATCCTTCTCACTGTTGTTGTTACCACCGTGAGATTTTCCCTAACCTGTTGTGTGGTCAGTGGGACCTGAAGTGACGGGAACGTGCACTACAGAGAATCAGAAATAAACAGAACTACTTTTTTTCTGTCTGTGTTTCTATTGAAGGGATTCTTTTCGCTTAATGTGGTCACCAGGACAGAGGCCCACTAAGCAGAAAAGTAGCCTGGGAACAAGGATGCTGTGATCTTTATTATGTCTAAAATTGTCAGTCAGGAAGTTAGCATTAAATAGGCTTTTCATAAAGTTGTTAAGTCAGGTTTACATACAGAATTATTGTGGAAAATAATTAATGTAAACTTCATGAAAGTAAATAAGGTTTACAAGGTTTGCTTATTCAATCAGAATACATTTGTCAAATATTGATAAAATGTTTGGCAGCAGGATTAACTTAATCTCTAAACCAAACAGAAATAGGATTAAAAGACCTCCGTTTGAAATATGACAGTGCACAATAATTATTTAGCAATGGAAAGCTTATGTTTATATGGTGCAAACATTTCAAATGAATAAAGTTGTGTTTTTATACAGGGAACCCTGCACAGCCCACCTCTCTGCACTACATGAATCCTTATCAGTTGAATGCATATGGCATGGCATTAAAAGCAGTTGGAGAAATTATTCAGGATTATGACAGTGATAAAATGTTTCCTGCACTAGGATTTGGAGCAAAGTTGCCACCTGATGGAAGAGTATGTCATGAGTTTGCTTTGGTGAGTTTTTTTTAATCATATACATTTTGTTTGTTTTTTTTATGTGCCCCCGCTAAGTAGATTGATTAACTTAATGTGTTCTGGTAATTATTGTCACCAGGACTAAAAGTGTCTTAGAAATAATTTCCTTTAGTTCCTTCATTTCCTCCTCACACCGATAGCAAAAAAACTGACAGAAATATTAACCCTTTCCTCCTGCCAAGCCTCCCTATTTTTCAGTAATGTTGCCTATAACATAAAGACGTAAAGGAGAACTATGGGGTCAGTGTTTTTCCCCATAGTTCTCCTTAGGGTAACGGGAGGACACAAACTAGCGTCCTCCCGTTACCCTAAGCTCAGTATACCGCGAGCTACAGCTCGCGATATACTGAGACGCCGCACCTGGAGCGGATCCCTGCGTGAGTGACAGCTGGCTCTGCCCCCTCCCCCGTCCGTTCCGCCAGTCAGCGCTGGCAGATCGGAGAGGGGAATCCAGCCCCTCCCTCTGTCACGGCAGAGAGCCGTGACAGAATCGAGAGGTGAGGGAACCCGGTATGTGTTCCCTCACCTCCCAATCTACTGAGCCGACCTGTGACAGTCTCATTGTCACAGGTCAGCTTAGAACTATGAGGTGAGTGGAAATCACTCATCTCATAGTTCTCCTTTAACAAACCAAAATGCACCACAAAAATGCAGCATTTTTTGGCAGCATGTTGCAAAATGCTATAATGCACATCGGCTGGCAATATGTACTGCAGTGCCATTCAGAATGCCCACCTTGGCCCTTACAGGAAAATTCAAGATTTCCATAAAATGTTAGTAGCCTATAGCTCTGAATCTATTTGTGGATACTAATTATCTTTCATTAAAGGTAAGCTCTGCTTATGCATTCATTTCATAATGGATTTAGCTTCAGTGGTTAACGTTTATCAAATTTTTACTTAACCACTTGAAGACCAGGTGTTTAGACCCCCTTCCTGGCCAGGCCATTTTTCAGTATTCAGCGCTGAGGTACTTTGACTGACATTTATTCCGTCATGCAACGCTGTACTGGAATTAATTTTATGCCATTTTTTGGGGACAGATAGAGCTTTCTTTTGGTGGTATTTAATCACCACTGAGGTTTTTTTTATCTACTATAATTAGGAAAAATTACTGAAAATGTTGAAAAAAAATTATTTTTTTGAAAAAAAATAAAAAAAATGTTTTACATTATGTTAGGAAACATTTATTATTACCCAATTTTTTGGTAAAATATAAAAGACGGGGTCACGTCGGGTAAATAGACACCAAACATGTCAAGATTTAAAATTGCGCGAAATCGCAGAAAATTAACATACCCAAAATTGGCCATAGGCGACACTTTAAAAGCTTTTACCGCTCATCAGTTTAGTGTTATCAGTGATTGATGGCCCTAGAATGATTGCTCCCACTGTGACGTTTGCGGCGATATGTAACATGTGCAGCGTAATGGGCACAATCGTCGTTTTTGAACGTATGCGCCCCCGACGCATGTTTGCACGTGTATGTATGGGTGGGGACTTTAAAAAATGTTTTGGTTTTTTTTTAATTCTTTTTTATGTGTAACTTTAAATTTTGGGGGGAGGACTTTAATTTTTTTTGCTATTTTTTTTTCACTAAACTTTATTGCTATCACATACAGGGGGCTAATAAAACCCCCCTATGTGATAGCAAAATATGTGACAGGTCCTCTTCAAAAACAGGATGTCTTGCTGCACTCCTAACCAGAGTAACCCCAAGCTGGGGTGACCACGGCTCAGAGCCTGATGAAGGGGACCCCCTGCGGCCCCGAAAGCGCTTGTGTATTGGATGGCAATGTGCCATTAAAATGGATCATTGACTAACAAAAACTGGTGTGCTGGTGACATTATTCCTTTATTCCAGGTCCTCTTTATGGAGACATCGGGGGTCTCCAAGGCCCCTAATGTCACCTAGGACCCCCCTGAAGAAGCTGATGAAGCACAGATCTGCTCCACCAGCTTCTTTCCAGCTTCTGAAGCTGGAGAGTGACAAGAATGCGGAAGTGATGTAATATACAACACTTCTGCATTCTTGCAGCGGCGAAGGGACCGGAGGGAGATCGGTACACTGATCCCCTGTGACACAGGCACCATGCTGATCCCGGGCTCGCACCGGGCACAGCGGAGCCCGGGATCAGCGGCACAACGGCGGGGGGGGACAGCGGAGGCGGGGGACACCGATCGTTGCCCCATACAAGCTATCCGCCGGCTCTATAGCCGGCGGATCGCTTGTATGTTAACAGGCATCGCTGCCTGTTTTTAAATATCGGGCATTTCTCGCCCCCGCCCAGCAACGCGCGCTAGGGGGCGTGTCTGAGCGGACGTCTATAGACGCCCGCTCAGATGTAGAGAGCTCCCGGGCCGCCCGTTTTTTTACAATGGCCGGCCCGGAGGTAGTTAGAGGATTCTCCAGACCTCCTTTTATTTACTGTGCTAGATGTGCAGACCTGGAAGCTCAAGCACAGACCTTTCTACTTGGAGGCCCTGAGTGATGTAAAAAAATCTTCAGTGGCATCATTCTCTAGCACCTACTAAACATTAAAATAGCTTTGGGTAGACTGGATCTTTACTAACGTATGTTTGCATGTACTGCAGGCAGCAGTAGGATTAATGGTTTTATTGTTTCAAAACAATTCTGTTTGCATTTTAGGGCCCATTCACACCATGTCCGGATCATCTCCAGACCACACCAGATTGTTTCCGGACCCAAAATGCATCCTAATGTATCCCTATGCTATTTCTGGCCTCTGTTCACACCAGAGCAGTCCGTTCCAGACCAGACCAGAAAAATAATGCTTGTCCTATTTTGTCTCATCTGGAATGCACTGTAACGCATAAGAAACACATACAAACGCACTGGAACGCACCTGTAAGACCGTCTTAAGACAAAAATAATTCCAAACGGGGTAAAATCGTGGCAAAAACGCAATGCACTGCGTTCCAGATTTGGTCCAGAAAATGGTGTGAACCTGCCCTTACTAATTATTTTTCCTTGAAGAAAACCAATACCGACTTACTGATTTTAGTACTTTCTGGGTCACTAAACCAGAACAAGTATGGGGCTAGTGAAGTCCAGGTAAAGCCAGAACTGCTTGTTTGCATACTTCTTTTAGATCAGTGACTCAGAGTACTCAAGTCACCGAATAAGGATGACAGTCAGGCAACATGCGTTTATGTCAGTTATGTTAAATTATTGCCCCCTACATATTTCTGTCAGCACTGTGCAATTTTTAGTATGTTTCTATTTTACCAATGTGTATGATATTTATGTTCTGTACCTTCTAACAGCTATGTATGGCTTTGTTGTTTAGCCATAATGGTTTCTTTTCATATATTGTAACCTTTGTTTTTAAAACCTTTTGTGTTTTTAAAAAGTGACTGAATATAAACCATCACCCTGTATACATGCAATTTAGATAACAGTATCCTTATTCTTTTGACTAAATCCTTTTTTTAAAAGCACTGCATCTGTATTTAAAGGTGTCTTCTATTTTCTGTTATAGAATGGCAATCCACAAAACCCTTACTGCCACGGGATAGAAGGTGTTATGGAAGCCTATTACAGAAGTCTGAAAAGTGTACAGCTATATGGTCCAACAAACTTTGCCCCAGTAATTAATCATGTAGCAAGGTAACAACTTTTCTTAATATGATCAGTATATAATTACAATTAAATAATGCTGCATGTTGTTGGTTGATGTCTACTAACATAAATTTATTATAAATGAAGAATAACTTTTTTTTTTTTAATATTAATTACCAAATTATTGGAGCACATCAGAGGTAACTATGGATGTGTCAAAATTAGAAAATACATCATAGAAAGCGTACAGGGCAAAGCAACAGGGTATAGAAAGAAGTTAGGTGACCCTGCTGCTTTGCCCTGCACACAGCCACCTCCTCATGCATCACTTGCCACTCCCTCTTAGATTATAAGCCCTCACAGGCAGGGCCCTCCTTACCATCTTGTCTTGAATTGTATTGTAATTATAATGTCTTCCTTATATTGTAAAGCACTACGCAAACTTTTGGCGCCATATAAATCCTGTATAATAATAATAGAAATTAGTCAAATTCTCCACCGTACCAAGAAATGCAATTATTTTCTGCACTCTAGGCAGTTGATTGGGGAAGGGTTCCGCCAAGGCACATTGGTCACTATAGGGAGTTTGAGCAAACTCAGTTTCTAGTCCAACAGATCCATTGTATAAACCCCTTTTAAACTGATTCGTTATGTTCTGCCTGGGGTCCAGTTATGGGTTGACACATGAATTATATTTATAAAAATTCCACTGGTTTGAGTTTGAATTTGAATTCTTGATTTATTGAATAGGTTTTAACTATCGCAGGCATTTTAAAAATCCAAACGATGAAAAAAGTTCAATGGTATTAAAGGAGAACTATGGGGTTAAGTCTTTTCCCCATAGTTCTCCTTAGGGTAACGGGAGGACACAAACTAGTGTCCTCCCGTCACCCTAGGCTCAGTACACAGCGAGCTGTAGCGAGCTGTATACTGAGACGCCGCAGTATACCGCGGGCAGCTGCTCGCGGCATACTGAGACACCGCAGGTGAAGCGGATCCCGACAATTGTGCCGGGATCCGCCCAGCTGCGTGACTGACAGCTGGCTCTGCCTATCTAGAGGCAGAGCCAGCTGTACCCGCCCCCTCCCCCGTCTGTTCCGCCAGTCGGCGCTGGCGGATCGGAGCGGGGGGAATCCAGCCCCTCCCCTGTCACGGCAGAGAGCCGTGACAGGATCGAGAGGTGAGCGAACGCCGGTATGTGTTCACTCACCTCCCGATCTACTGAGCCGACCTGTGACAGTCTCATTGTCACAGGTCGGCTAGAACTATGAGGTGAGTGAAAAGCACTCACCTCATAGTTGTCCTTAAAACTAAATAGCCGCCAAGGTTGCTAGGCCATCAAGGACCCATTTAACAAGATGCAACAAACATCTTCTTTTCCATCATTTAGAGTGGTGGCAATTCCTGAAATAGATTAGATTTCTGAATAGTTCCATCTGTTTGTTGCATCACCTGCTTATGTAAAGGTTCACATGTATGAAAGGATGTGTAAACATTTCCCACATGTATGCTTTTCTTCTACCTATGCTCACAATCTATACTCACTTCCTATTTTATGAAAATAATAGCATCCACTCTGGCATAACTTTGCTTCATTTATAAACATGAATAAACAGACCACTGATACATACCTACAGTAATGCATATGGTACTTTATAAGTTTTTTATGTGAATCCATTTTAATCTATATTCTTTTTTTAATATATGTAACAAAAACAGCATAATCTGCAAACAGTTCTGCAAAACTACCGACGGAGTTATATTAAGATAAAGATGTTTCTGTGTATTCTGTACAGAAATATGCTTGGAATTGTAGCAGAAAACTATTTGATCCTGTGTTGCACATACATACTATTTATATCTGTTCACTTCATTTGTCAATACAACTTATTCAAAATATATAATTAAATAATCAGCGCTATGGTCGTATAACTTAATCTAAAATGGTTGTGTTACCGCTGCAGTGCTAACAAAGTTACAGTATATGCATATATAACCTATTTAAAATGTTTATTACAAATTTTGTTCTAGATAAATGGTAGTTTTCTTATAGCTGCTACACTGAAAACATAATATTATTCATGTATAAATTAGTTACGGTAGTTTAGTAATCCCTTGTTGTTCCCTATTATGATTATTCAGCAAGAGCTGAAAGGTGAGATAAGTGTGGATTTTTTTTCTATAAATGCATCTTGTTATGATAGAAAAAGCAGCAGTTTTCTTGGGAACTTGCCAGACTGAAAGTAGTATTAAACTCTCAAACTTTTTTTTTCAATAATGAATCCAGATCAAACAAGTATACATTGCCCAGCAAAGCATTGCTTTACATTTTTGCCCAAACACAATCATCATGTTTCTGAACAGCTGCTTCCAAGTATCTCAGCTCAGCTTCCCTGAACTTCCTGTCCAGTACAAGATCACAAAGGTCAGTGCAGACTCCAGCAACTGTTCATCAACTAGGTTGGAGATGGTAGGAGGGAGGAGAGGGGACCAGGGAGGAAGGGGTAGCTTGAGTTGCTGTGTCTGTGTGTTTGTGGAGACACACACAGCTTACTAGCACACACAAGGGTGACTGCATAGCACTCTGCTTGAGAAAGGAGTCACTCTAAAACAGGATGTCAGGACCAGTGCTCAGGAGACCAGCTGATTCTACTGGACACTAAAACTTTTAAATGTCAAGGAGCAGCATCCATTGTAAGTGATTTCATCAGCATTTGAAATAGCTTAAAATCATTTTGAATTTAATATCATCTGAAGTTGCCAGTTTTTAAAGAGGTAGGGGTCTACCAATGATAACGTTTGGATTTACAGTATATTTAGAGAGTGATTAATGTCAGTACCCTGTATGAAATGATCTTATTGGGGTATGTATGATTTCACAAACAATGAAAACAAATATACCAGTTAACCAGCTACTGTATGTAGTTCATCAGGGAGGATCAGGCACATTTATCTCTATCTGAACCATTCCCTTCATTTAATTGGTTAGTGAATATATGTTTCCTGTTAAGGATTGTTTAAGAGTGAAAGTCGTAATATGGCATAAATACATATTGCATAGCAACCACATTTTGAAGGTTTGACTGTTAAAGATTAAATGTAACCATGCCAACTTTGACCAGGTAATGTAAAGGACAGAGTAGAAACTAACATCATAAGGTCTGCTCTGATGTCATTTAACTTCACTTTTATATTAGGGTAACATGTTGTCTTAAGTGCTAAACCTTTAAAGCTATGGCTAAAACACATAAATGGCACCCTTGACAGGTCATTGTAACCATTTTGGACCCTTGGGCCATATACAAAGACAGAAAGGTCCACTTCCACTTAGTAGAAGCAAGGCTGCATCAAGTGGGCCCATGATGTTTTACTTCTCTGAGTTTTGAGACAAAAAAAGCTTACTTGTCCTAAGGCAGTACGAAGTTCAGAATCCATTGCAGAAAATTAGGTTTCTTGATTGCACATCCCAGGACACAGGGAGTTAATTCTGGAACCAATAAGTTATGCAGCTACCTTCAGCTGATCAAACACTGTCAAACCAAAGCTGTAATGGCAGCCCTGTATAACCCCTCACTCCCAGCCTGCCTCAGTTTGTGTCCTTAGGTGATAGGCACTATCTCTCTGCTCTGAGAGAATTATATCTTTTTCTGCATAACACTCTTCTAGAAAAAAAATGTCTTAAGCTGCTAACAGCCACTTTTGTGCCTCTCAGCACCTCTCTGGATTGGTTTTCTCCACAGCTGAGCCTGGTGGACTATACCTGGACCCCGCCAGAAGGAAGATGCAGGGCCAGCCTGTAATGTGCTCAGGGTACTGGACCTGCATGGGGCACTCACCCTGGCACTTACTGGAGCATGTGCAGTTGCTGCAGGGTAAAATAAAGGTCCGGAGCTTTGGTTCAATCTTGGCGGAGTCCTGTCCCCGAATACCCTTCATTAGAGGGTAGGTTTATGGGGCTTTTTATGGGTGTTTATGCACTCCCTGAGGAAGAAAAAGATGAAGCAGCTGCTTCCAGTTCCAGCCGCCTTGCCCAAGGTCACTAGTCTGGATTCTTTAGAAATATCCAAACCTGTTAAAACCTTCCCTGTACTGGTCCGAGTCAAGGATGACACCTAGGACCTTGGCATGAGGGGAGGGTTGGATAGTTGGATTGGATAATTTTTACTGCTGATGTTGTTTGGTGACTGAGATCACCCTGAAAATTTGTTTACTCTTCCCAAACAGTTTGCTTAGCAATACCTTATTAAAAATGGATTCCCTTAAGAAATGTTCCTGACGTAGACCCACCTACGATTTTGAAAAAAAAAACCCAGTCCCTGTTTCGGGCCCATTGTTGCAGATGGGAGCCATCAGATGTGGACATTCTGGTGTGCAGGTTCAACAACAAACTGGATACATTTGTCGCCAGGATCAGGGATCCCCAGTCTACATTTGTCGCCAGGATCAGGGATCCCCAGTCCTTTGCAGTGGATGCCTTAGGGGCATTCTGGTGATCCCAATTGCTCCAAACTGGCCCAGGATTCAGTGGCATGTGGACTGCTGGCAGAATCTCTGTGGGTACTTCTGGATCGTCAAGACCTCCTGTCCCAAGGGCCAGTATTCCACACTGCTTCTTGATCGCTTTAGGTCTTTGCTGTGAATCTTATTCTTCCATGTACACAATCCTTTCAAGACATGCAGCATCAAATGAGGACATTGTTCTCTCAGAAATGGCCACTGAAGCCTGGTAAACTTACTCTACTGTGACAGCTGTAGCTATCAGCTTGGCCTGCTGCTAACATTGACCTTTTCATTCTCTACACAGGCCTGCATGTTGCACCTTTAGGTCTTTGCTGTAGATCTAATTATTTTCCATGTACACAAACCCTCCAAGACATACAGGATTAAATTAGGACATTTTTGTCTCAGGAATGGCCACAAGAGCCTGGTAAATAGTTTAAAGTAAACCATTTATATCTGATTTTTACTAAGGTGATAAAAAAAACAGATTACTAAGAAGTGACTGCCCATAATCAGCTCCATGATTGTGTAAAAGCATGTAAAGCAGTAATATATACAACTGATTATGGTCAATTTCACTAAACTGGAGCATTTCTGACTACATTTTTTGTTGAATTTTTTCCCAGGTTTTTTTGGTCAAATTAGGTACCTCGGCTTATATTCGGGACGGCTTATACTCGAGTATATACGGTAATCCAAACCATATAGCTGCCACTAAAAAAATAGAAAAAAGAATTGTGAGTACAATATGTCATCTTAAAAGCTTTGCATCTATTGTTTTCTATAAATTAAAAAGGTCTTCTTACAGTCTTCATGTGGAGATATTAATACGAGTAGCAGGTCTCAAATGCATTCAGGACTATTTGTAGCTGTTTTCTAAAGCTTATATTTAGAGTAATTGTTCTTTCTCTTTCCTGTAGATATGCTGCCTCAGTAAAGGATGGCTCCCAGTACTTTGTTCTACTGATTATTACAGATGGAGTTATCTCGGACATGGCTCAGACAAAGGAAGCAATAGTCAATGTAAGTGAACTGCTTTTCATGCTGCTCTGGTAGTTTCCTATTTAAACTGAAAGCACCTGCTGTCTTGGACTGCTCGCTTGATTTGCTGCTTTTAAAGGAAAAATCCAGGCTTTAACTTGCAAGCTGCTTTTCGGATATAACTGTATTCTATCAAGGCGATCACCTGGATGAATGAAAAATATGTTGTTAACATTTTATATCACACTAATCTGAAGTCCCACCATTGAGTTGACACAGGCTATACTATATCCCGCTCTATAAATATGTTATTGTACTGTCTTGTCTTGCTGCTAGGCATGAAAATAACATTCCAGTGTGAGTTTTCATTTTATATCCTGAATATCACTTTATCCTTAGTGTAACAGTGTTGTATCTGTAGTTGGCATTTAGGTCAGACGTACTAACTTTAGCGCCCAAGGCCACCCAACAATGCTTGGTTTTTATGTTCTCTTCAGACTCACATAGCTGATAATTAGTGTTGTTCGCTTATGTTGCCCACGCAGAGATTAATCTGGTTATTAAAGATTCCCATCATTTTACTCACAAATTTCCAATCATTTTATTCTAATTAAATGTATAAAAATTAAACCATCTGGGATTTTGCGTAATGGTTAAAAGGAAGCCTGTACTTAAAATAAAAATATTGTGTAAGCTGCTATTGCTGCACTTGCTGCCTTAGGCCTTGTTCACACGGGTTTCAGCTTGTATTAGAGCAGTGTGTACAGCGGTCTTTTGAAAAGCTTTCGACAAGCTTCAGGCATCTTTGTTGAAGCCTTTAAAGAAAACATTAGTTCCGGTTTGAGAATGTTAAAGACAGATCCTAATGGGAGTGCTGACTGTCACTTTAAACAAGATTTCATCAGGCTTTCAACAAGTTTCATGTATTGCTGCAGCTTCCTGAAGCCTGCTAGCAGCTTGTTGAAAGTGACAGTTAGCACTCACACTTTTAAGATCTATGTTTAACATTCCCAAACTGGAGCTTCATGGTGCTTTAAAGTCTTCAACAAACCTTGCCGAAAGCTATGCAATTGCTCTGTAAAAGGTTGCTTCACACACTGCTTTTATACAAGCTGAACCCTGTGTGAACAAGGCCTTATACAGTAGTCATGCTGATCCAATGACTTTAATAGTTTCTCCCCTGGAATAAATTACTTGCTGCATACTTGTTTTAGGGTCAGTGACTCAAACGTTTTGAAGCCAGAGACTGCCAGTCAGCTAGCATTTTGGGAGAAGGCCAGCAATGTCAACCTCCATATTCTTTCCATGTTCTTTTATTAAATATTTTAGAAAATACATTAAAACTTAAAATAATAGTAACTTCACATATAGTATGGGTGAAGTCAGAACAAAAAAATGTGAACTCATGCATGTCATTATTAACCACTTTGCTAATGGAGTATTTATTTTTTTATTTTTTCATTTCTTGCACACATTTATAATATGCATTTTGGCTGGACAGTTACTTAAAACCTCCAAACAATAGAGAGAAATGTGGAGGTCCATGTAAACTGTAGACTTAGCAATATCATGTAATTCCAGGCCACAGCAATTAACGCTAGCAGATTACTATCATGCATAAAAAAGGGTATTGACTCTAGAGACACATCCATAATTCTGCCACTTTACAAAACACTGGTCCGGCCTAAACTTGAGTACATTCAATTTTGGCTACTGATCCACAGGATGGATGTCCTGGAGATTAAGAGAGTCCAGAAAAGGGCAACAAAACTAATAAGGGGGCTGGAGGACCTGAGCTACGAGGAAAGATTACAAAAGGTACACTTGTATACTCTGGAAAATAAGCAATTTAAGAGGGAATATGACTGCCCTGCACAAATTGTTTAATATTGTTGGTAGAATCAGTAATATACTGTTTACTGTAAGTCCACATAAGAGGCCACTATCTGAAAGTAGAAAAAAAAGGTTTAATCTCAAACTGCAAAGGGGAACCTTTACTTTCAGATAGTGGTATCTACTAAAAGTGTAGACTTGTTCAAGAAACGTTCCTCAATGAACGCAATATACAGGGGTACGGTTACTCTTAGTTACCCATATACACATACACACATGCACACACACATATAGGTTAAACTGGGTGAATCTGTGTCTTTATTAAAACTTAACAACTATGTAACTTTATGTAATATATATTAGACCCCTAATGTCTCCCATGCCCTCTGCTACAGCCAATCTAACACAGATTGTACTTGATTTGATGTTTGATGCTCAAAGCTGAGTGCTTCTGGGTTTACGCACTGGTAAGGACATTATCAGCTTGTTTTAACCACCGAAGGTCTGGACATAGAACATACTTCCAAAATCCTGGAAAGTAGTTAAAGAAGTTTTTTCCCCAAATATGATAAACTCTAATAGAGTCTAAACATTCAGTGCAAAATTGACACATGTCCGGCTTAGATTACACAGATTACTGCTCTAGTGTCTCAACCTAGGGGTTAAGAAAAAGTGCATTGTTTTTGGCCTTTTCTTTTATAATCTCCATGTATGTTGTGAATTCTTTTTTTTCCTTAAACTGCTCAATAAAAATTAGGTACTTGGGCTACTTTGGCCCCTTTAACTGTAATGGTGGTGGGAGTAAGAGGGCGAGAACTTAATGTATGTCTGTGCAGTGTATCACCTTTTTTTAAGGTGTTTTGCATCACTACAGTTGTTCTCTCTTCCATTTTAACTTCAGAAATGGTGTACTGAAACATCGCATCTGTGCTCTGATAGAGTGCAGTCACTGTATGGCCATCATTTTTCTGACCTGGTCTCCTCTCCAGCCCCTTGTCAACTTCATTACTGTCACACCTGCATGGCAGCTTTAGTGACTCCATGACTTGCTAGGGAGATGATGGCATACTGGTTTTAGCCACTCCCACCACATATACTAACACTACAGTTCTAAGAGAATCTGCAAGGGAATTTGGTAAATGTAGTCCTGTTATTACATGTTTCTTGTTGAGGACCTTATCAGAAAGCGTATAGGACACATCTGTATAAAAGGAGCCAGAACATGCAGACTGTCATTGATTATCTCTGCATCTAAAAACTGTATTTTATGACCCAGTGGCTTCACTACAGTTTGCATCACTGACCCAGGGAAAAAAGACCCCATGTGCTTCAAAGTATGGAAGCTAGAGACAGCCAGAACTTGGTTGAAAAACAGGAGAGGGTCATTGCCGTGTGGACAACGCAGTACAGGAACAGCAGATGAGAAGCAGTGCTAGGATCAAGCCAGGGTCAGAATACCAGAAGATCAGCAGAATGGTCAAGTTGAGCCAGGTCAGTAACAGAATACAAGCAGAAACACAGGATCACGGTGACAGGATGCTGACGATCACTCAGAACATCAGAGGGCCACGGCCTAAATAGCCCATCTGGCACCAGGATATGTGGCATGTGCGCACGCACGTCAATGTGCACATGTGCGAGTGAACACACCCGATTCTATGCAGAGACGCATGGCCAGGCCTGGTTCTATAGACCACACCAGGCACACGCGCAGCCGCTTGCGCCGTGCTCAAAACACTGTAGCACGGCTTCTTGACATTGCCCCCTCCCAAGGGGCAGCCTCCGGGTGCCCATTCGGAGTCTTTTTCCAGTGTGTTTCAGAAAGAAGGCTCGTGACAGATGCTTGGCATGGTTGTTTTCTTCTGGTTCCCATACATTTTTTTCAGGCCCATACCCTTTCCACTCAATCATGTATTGAATTTCACCACGCTTTCTACAATCCAAAATGGCCTCGACCTCAAATTCTTCTTCCCAATCCATAATGACAATGAATGGCCGCAGGTCCAATACTTTGCCCAGGTCAAGGGATTAGGAACATCCGGCTTGAGCAAGGAGACATGAAACACAGGGTGTATTTTATAAGAAGCAGGAAGCTTTTGTTTAAAGGCAACTGGATCAATTTTCTTCTCGACCGGCAAAGGTCCTACAAACCTTGGACAAAGTTTCTTCGAGGGACAGGCTAGTTTTAGATTTGCTGTGGACAGCCATACACGATCCACAGGTTTTAGATCCAATTTGCCTCTTTTCTTCTTATCAAAGGCCCTTTAATTGTCCTATTGAGCTTTCAAAATTGCCTTCAAAAGCCTTTCAAGATTGTTGGAACTGAAGAAGGTCAATTTATCCTGGACTGCGGGCAAAATGCATTCAGGTAAAGCCAGCATCCAAAAGGTTGGATGGTGACCATAACTTGCAAAAAAGGGAGACTGATTGGTAGCAGAATGCACTAAGTTGTTATGAGAAAATTCTGCCAGTGGTAGCAACGACACCCAATCATTCTGAGTGAAAGATGAAAAACAGTGAAGGTATTGTTCTAGAGTTTTGTTCGTTTTTTTTGTTTGACCATTGGTTTGTGGATGATATGCAGAGGAAAGGCAGAGTTGAATGTTCAGGGCTTCACAAAATGCTTTCTAGAATTTAGAGGTGAACTGGACTCTGTGTTCCAAGACGATACTGCTGGGAAATCCATGGAGTCTAACAATGTCCATTATGAAGATTCAGCCTGTCTCAGCAGCAGATGGAACACCCTTGATTGGAGAAAAATATGCCATTTTAGAGAGCCAATCAACCACCACAAAAATACAAGTAAAATCTTCAGGAGGTGGGAGTTCAACAATAAAATCCATGGAGATCATGTCCTATGGCTTCTCTGGAACCAAAAGGAGTCATAACAAGCCTCAAGCTTTGGATCAACTGCCCTTATTTTTGATGCAAGTTTCACAGGAACTCACATAATTCTTACAGTCTGCACAAAAATTCGGCCACCAGAAATGACACCCCCCCAAAATGTCCAGCAAAGGGTGAATCATGAGAATACTTAAGTACTAGCAGGCGGAGACAATGTGGTACAAACATTTTCTCGTTATGAAAAAGTAGCTCACCTTCTTCACGAGATCAGTATTGGGAGGAATCACTTATGTGGATGAGACTTGCAGAATTTGCGTGACAAGATCTGGCAGAATCAACAGGAAATTATTGCAGGACAATGTCTG